TTACGCTTTACGATAAATTCCAAGCGGCTACAACGTACTACGTAGAATTAAAACGGCGAATACACTCTACGCCAAATGCACCAATTACACTCTACGTTGAATTAGAGCGGTCCATCTATGCTTTACGTGGAACTAAAACAGCCGATTACGCTCTACGGAAAAGGGCATGCAGGCCCCCCTTAATAGCGTCACCTCTGCTCTTGACATCCCCAATACAATATGGTCCATGTTTTCCTTTACTTAGTCTATGGCCAAATCCTGTATCACATCACCAGCATTAGCAGTCACTGGACGCTGACACCGAAAGGCCCAGATCACTCAAGCATCAACACAGTTATGTTAGACAATAATGTTCTGATACGGGATACGGCATTCGGTTCTTAGGTTATCTGCGTTTGGTTCTAGAGATGTCTGAGTGCCTACCCCGCCCTGTTTCTTCTAAACAATGCCAGAGACAGCAGTCTGCTTTGTATTTACTTGTAACCTGCCACAGGATACTGAAAAATTTTGTGAAAGGCAGAGGTCTTTGATGTGGGAGAAGGAAAGAGAAGAATTTGAAGGAGAAAAACCACATGAAAGGATTGATATAAGGGCGGGGACATCTCGAAATACAGTCCAGTGGAGGGTGATTCAACAGTGTGGGACAGAAAAGATTATTATCGCCTTTGAAGTGCTTATGTATGCTAAGTCAACATCTAAAGCAAGTACCCACATGTCCAGAGTACAAGCTGAGTCTCTCAACGATATCAAATTTTTATCACAAAATAAGCAGTACAACATTCTTTCATGTGAAGTATTAATGTCCACAAAAGACTGGTAGATTATGTAAGCAACATGAGGTACATATGTTACAAAATTCATACGTCAAACTAAACTCTCAATGCTCTACCCAGTGTGTTTCCATCTACGTACATCTACACATTTGTGTTAGCTTTAGCAGACGTCAGCAAAGAAAGGGTTTCAACATATATACTAGTCTACAGGGCTTGAAATACTGGGTGCATGTGCACCTTAATGCACCCAAATTTGGAGCTGTGCACCCAAGTTTTTTCTGTAGTTGCACCAGTGCACCCAGTAGGTTTACTAGTACATGTGTCAAATGTATAGTGGTAGACAGCCTATTCTTAAGTATTCTTAACTATACTTTTCTTTACATTAAACATAATTAGTTTTTGCTGACATTCTCTTTATTTTATCTTACATGGTGCACCCCCCAAAAAATTTTGTGCACCCTAATTTTCTAGATTGGGTACACCAGTGCACCTATTCCCAAAAATGTATTTTGTGCCCTGGTCTATAGTCTATACATTGCGGATACATGATTTTTGGTTACGAAATGTCCTAAATCTGGGACTTCACACGTCTAAGTGAGCAATAGGACAGGAATGTTTGGCCGGCAGGCTTAAGAGATTAGCTGGCAGATTGATTAAATACAACAGGTTATTAACGTTTGTCTGATCTTTCCCCTCTGGTTATTGATTCTTGTCGGGACTGTTTAGTGGGGAGTCCAGATAAATGGGACAGCCATGCTGGACACCATATGTCAGGCGATATCGCTGATAATCGTGTTAATCTAAAAGTTACTAATGGTGCCCCCACCTGCAATGAAGGGTAATCATGAGTAATGTAATCATATAGCTCCTACACAGGCAACACAGAATGGAACACATGATTATGATGTATCAAAATCATTACTAAGATACATGCTGTATTCTTATCAGCCAACATTATAGCACTTTTAGATATTAAATGCAGAAATAATGAAATACCTAAATTCTTCAGAGTTTACAAAATTATATTACAGGTAGCAAGTAGACTAACAAATCAAATTTGTTTGTTATGAATGAAGTGGAACATACTAAAAGCTAATGGGATATTGTTTGTGTAACTTATAGTGCCTTGTAATTCTCAATTATACTATATTTGTGATTCGGATGAGTTTTGTTTTAGAAAGAGAAAGAGCATGCCAGCATGTTGAGTGTTCACGAGAGCCATCTGAGTTTGACATTGTGAATATTTGCAGTAACCCCTTGCCTGAGGTCTGCCAGTGCTTGTGTTCGCGGCTCATTTGGAGCAGGTGTGAGGGGGATACTGTAGACATCTGTTGGACCCTACCTCCACTGAACCACACTACAGGTCACCAGAGTAGCGATGAGCTCCCAGCTGACCTACAGATGTCACTGTTTACAGATATATGTATAAAGTAAACAGTTCCCTACACTTGGGATCCATATGTGCCTGCGATTTCAAGCTCTCACCTGCAGTAATAACCTACCTGTTATGCAAACAGTTATCTTTTCCTGAGTTGTAAAGGGAGACTAAATCTAAACTATGTCAGCTGTGTACTCAAAAAGCAAGGTAAGCACCGCTAGAGAAATGAGCCAACAAATCTTCCTGATGGAGGCGTCCTCACAAAGCGACTCTGCGAAAACACCACCTGTGTAACTCCTATCCGGGCGCTCCCTTGGTGCCAGTTGCACCTGACCATACATAATCTCCCACACATGTGGCTGTTTTCTGATTTGAAATTTAAAACAGGACTGTCACAATCACACAGCCATGCCTGGCTCTGTTGTTACCCCCACACTCAATGGAGGGGTGGTCGCCCTTTGGGGGGGCACGACTTTCTTCAGTTGCCACGGAGACCCGAGCAGCTGCAAGAAGTTGTGCCAACCTTGGATTGCTTGAGAACAATGTCAAGCTGGCGTTGCTGAAGTATATGACACAGACTGCGCTGGTTTCCATCAGCTTTGGATGGCAGGACAATGGTTACTACCTGAAGTACAGTGTTAGGAGTCTAAACATGCATGTCTATTTGTTGATGGTGACTCTGCTCTAGGATTTATGGAGTCCAGACATGAACCTTTTGTACAAAAGTGTCCTGTTCAAGAATCAATTCCTGAATAACTCTAGTGGTGCCAGCGTGATAATCATAACTGTTCAAAGACTTGTCTTCTTTTTTTTTAGCAATTTACAATTGCCAAGTTTCTAACAGCATTTTTCCTTTAATGACATGCTATATCAAAATACAAAACTGACAAAGCAAACAGAATTCACAGACAGTAACTTACTGGCTATATTACTTGTTAAACTGCAACTACTGTAGTTTAGTGTGAGATATGACTTTCAGATTACAACCTAATGACCACTCTGAACACTGGATTAGTGTCATCCTAATCATTCTGGCCTTCTGCTCTTCTCTCTGATCCCTTTCATGAAGCCTAATATCTCTATAATGTCCTATCCAATTTTGCCGAGAGCTTTCTTCAATTCCAGCTAGTTGGACTGGGTTATCATTTTGTAATCTGTGACCCAGTGCTGCTGGCATGTTTCAATTTATTCCTCTTTAAAATCTGAGTTCTCATTTCATGCACACTGCCTCAGGCAGCATTGTTATTGCATGCGAAATGAGATCAAGAGTGGCCGCTGAGCCCTATAGCATGGGTATGGAGAGCGCATTTTACTTGTTGGAATGGTGATCTCATTTTGGTACTGAATGAATTAGAGTGGATTCTGCCCCAGGCTACTTGCTGTCTGCTTTGCCACCAGAAGAGATGTGATAAAGGGGGCTACTGTGCGCCCGGCGGAGGCTTTGTCGCTGCCTTCCAGGACTATTATTTAGCCTTTCCTGTTTTGGGGGAAAAGTAGAAAACTTGTCTGACAAACATTACTGGTGTTGGAAGGTACCCATTGACGGATGTGTCAAACTAGACCCAAAAGTGGGAGATTGTGACCCATTTTACGACTAAAACTATGAACTGTAAAGTACTCCACTTTTCCCCATTACAGTGTAATTCAGTACAATAGAAGTTGTCAATAAGACTACATCATTCAATCGAGAGGCCACAACTGAGAATGAAATATTATCTGATATGAAACTACAAATATACAACTGATTTGACGTGACTAGTATGTGTATGTTAGTAGGCCATCATACGGAAATTGAAAATAAAACTGAAATCCATTTCATCCATTTACTTTTAGCGTACCCAAACGGTGACCATGCACTGGTGGACATTTTTACTCATGGATAGCCACTGTGGCATTACGGGGTCATAAACAATGTAAACTCTCGTGTTTACCGTGTTACGCGTATGTGAAATTGTGCCAAATTGAATCAAACCCAAATATGTAATAACACCAAAGTGTTGACCCAGAACAGTAATGATGTTGTTGTTGTTCTACATGTCCATTTGCCCAGAAAAATTATGTCAAAGTTGGTACAGGGTCAGTTCACAACTGTAGAACCACCGACAAATTTATATACTGCTAAATATCAACATCCTAAGATGTAAAGAAAGTCAAGGTTAGAGAGGAGACAGGAAAATGTCTGGACGGTAGTCAGGAATCGGCAGTGACTAGTAGGTACAGAGGGTGGGGACGGCTGGATAGAGTGTCGAAAACGACTTCCCACACAGGAAGAGAGGACTGTTCCCCCGGAGTGGCATACCAACCCACTACAAACAGGCAGGGGCGACTGTTGACTCAATCCCAAACACGGCCAGGGTCGGTCAGAATGCCAGAAATCGCTGGGGGAGGGGCGGGAAGTCCTCCGACTTGTGATTCACAGCAAGACCCCGATAAAAAAAATACCACATTTTCCCCAAATATAACCTTAATTTAGTATAAACTATAGATAAAATACTGACTTAATCGTGTAACGTAGCCACAAAAGTTCAGAATGGTTTACATTTTTTTTAAACGCAAGAGTAGAGTTTGTTTACAACTGGTCGAGTGGATATGTCTGCCCCCCTCCCACAAAGTTTGACTTCCACTGTTGCTCGCTCGAACCGTTGCAACAACAGCTTTCTTAAACTCGAAAACCAGTGAAAAACAGGACTATAGTGGCCTGGGTTTGGTCAAAACAGACGGCAGTGAATCAACAGGATTCACACAAAGGCAGGACAACCCCAGTCAAATGTAAATCGGCAAGGGACGGTCGCTTTTATTCCAGGTCATTCAAACCGCCCTGTTGTTTTGCAGACATGTGCGGGACTTACCGGGGCAGATGTCATGGTCCTCGGCTTGCTTCCAGCTAGCCACTGCTAGCGTCTTCGTCCACAGTTCAAATATCACAAACGTAGAACCTCCTCGACAACTCTGAAGGCTTTTCCCGGTCCAGAAATAACCAGCAACAGTCCAGGAATAGAATGAAACCTTCCCCGAGTCCAGGCAAACTTTCTGAGTCCAAGAGGGAATAAATCCGACACACGAACCGCACGGCTTCAGAAAAAGATCACAGCACGGTTGGACGCAGAAGCCGTACACTGTCCGAGAGACATATCCAGTCGCTGTGTCTGCTGTTTCTCCACTTCTCCGGGGGCGTTAAAGGTGAGGAAAGTAGCTGTCCGGCAAGTTTCCTGTCTTGCCAAGTCGGACACAACAACCTCGACCCGCCTTTGCCTCAAACCCAAACTGACTGAGTAGAGCTTGCACGACTGGAAATCCTTACAGGGAGGAAAGAACTTCACTGATCACTGCTAGTGATTTCCAAATACTACTGTATTTTGAGTATTAGTGAATGAAAAAAGACTTTTTTTAAATAATTACTACTATTCCTTTGGACACTGAAAAAAATTTCGTCATTTTTTTTCCAGAGATAATGTTCTAACATTCGAAAGTATGGATATTTGGGGACTTCCCAACCAAAATCTTTCCTCCTTTTGATTTAAAATTTGCATAATTATTTTCAGGACATTCCTCCCCTGGGACCCGGATGTGTGGCCATTGGCGCGCACGCTGACCAATCAGCGCCATGGCAATGACGTCACCTAAGGTTTGGTTAGCGAAAGCCTTGCGTCATTCAGGTGAGTAAAGGTCTTCCCAAATTTGGTTTTATAACGAGTAGGCGTATTTAGATAGATAAAGACGTTTACTTCGAGACACTACTGTTCTTTTTTGTTGTTTGCCGTCTTGCCGAAACTCAATTCCCATTTTTACTTTCAAGGCGATATTGAACCGTTGCTTCCGTGAGGGCCCAAAAAATTTGCACAGATCATTTCGTTTGAATGTTCTAATAATGTCGTTCGCACCGCGGTTTTGAACAACAACAAGGTACCCGTGAAAGAAGAAGCAAAACAGGAAGTTTGCGGTGAAAGGTTGGGACTCGATAGCATGACATAATGCAGTCAAATATGTGTTGTGTACCCGCTAATAAACAACTATGTCACGAGCGGCTACCTTTATCAGAAATACACGCGTTTGCAGGTCGTTGTCCTTGAAGAAGAAAAGTCCAGATTTGGTTCTTTCTTTCTTTTTTTCATAGTTTCATTTCTTTTGGGCATAATCTTGTTTTTTCTATCTGGAAATCTGACAATGCTTTTTTTCCTTCTTATTTTATAGTCCTCTAATACAGAACAGTAAAAGAGTTTCCGTTCTAGTTTCTAAAAAGCCGCAGAGATTAAAAAAAAAAACGTTTCCACCACAAAATAATTTTTACGCAAGGAACGATTAAAGTACGCCCATTGAAGTAGCAGAAGTTACTAATCTTACCCGTAAAATGTTTTGTAGTGTATCGTAAACATTACTTTTGACAGCACACGGTTCGTATAATTGAGTTACGATGTACGAGCATATGGCAGTACTCAAACAAATAAAGCTACGGGCCCAGGAGAAATCATATAAACACACTGACATCAAGCATATGTGCATATTTACAAGACAATAGTTCACTCTATTCCAAGGCTATGATTACCAAGAAATTCATTTGAAGTAATCATATTAAACTATTGCAAGACACAGTCTGGAAACGAATTGTCACTTTATAGGAACTTTATTGACACAACATATTGTGCAGCGACTTTCGTAAGGTCTAAAACTGCATGTAGATGTACAGATAAATACATGGGTAGAAAGAAATTAACCTACGTACAAAACAGGTGTCCCTAAATCCTCCTTGATATTGTAATCCTTTTTGTTCCTCTTTTACTAGGAATCGAAGTTACACATACTAGTACATGTACTTAGATGCGTACGCACATTCTATATGTGTCAGTTACCACGTATACACAATACTACATGTACTAGTATTGTCTAAAGCTCGCCCACGCGTGCCTAGAAACGTGTGGGTGAGTGTGTTTTTTTTCCACACAAAAAACTCCGGTGAACTACCCGACATAAAACTGTGGTTTCCTTTATGTAATTACTCCATTGTTCTCCGTGTTCGCGAAAAACACCGGAGCATGTTTACGTTGTTTCTAGTTTCTATTGAATCAGTCATAGTAAGCAGGAACATCATTCGGCTGCAGAAATAGAATCCCTTTGTCTACAAACAGAAGTTCTTTCTTGTAGGTGTGGTAACAGGATAGCACCTATGAAAACTGTACAATAACAAGGTATTGTTCTGTGCGTTGGTTGGTGAAAAGGGTTTCCTTTTTACTCATCACTAGATTCTTTACAAAACAGCAGTTTAGATGAAGCGGACTGATTGACGTTACGTACATGTTGAGTGTATGTATTAACGCAGTTTGCCATTCCCAGCTTCAAAGGCATCCAATGCGATTTCAGGGCAGCAAAACTGGAAATATTTTGAAGGTAATCTCTGTGATATTGACGTATACTGCTTCACATTGGCACATTTGAGTCAGTATTTCATACTTTGGGCTTTTAAAATTCCAGAAACAAGCCCCAAGATGAGTCCTGTATTTTCTCGAATCTGGATGGTACCCTAAAAATCATCCCAGGGCTCTTCCAGTAACCATTTCCCGTCAGAATGTTGGGAACTTTTGCTCCATGAGGGTCAATATACTAGTACATTGCAAGAGTGTGGTTTCAACTTAGTATGTAGAAAAATGACTAGAATATAGGCTATGAAAAATCGGGATTCCAATCCCTAAAAACTGCACTGGAAAAAGTCTTAACCCCTTCTCTGCTAAACCAGCGTAAACCGATATTTGAGTTGGGCCAAGAGACTACCTCGGCGGCAAAAGGGTTAATGAGGATCAGAACGATAAAACTTTTGCTTTTTGCAGCCCTTCATCGGCTTATGATTATTTTGGCCCCATCCCAATTTTTACCTGGGACAACAGGTGATTTCTAATCTTCTAGCAGGTGTTGAAGATTGTAGCACTTTTCATCTCTCTTGTAAAACATTTTTTGCTGTTTATTATTTCTGCAAAGATTGTGCTGCACCTCCCATATTTCACAGTGGTATATCCTAATTAAACACAACAAAAATTGTATGGAATCAATGGTTCTTTTTACTATCAGCCCATCCCAACTCAACCCACTCAGACATGTTGTACTCCAAATGGTTTCCTCCTGTTGAATAGATCCAGACACTTACCTCATACCCCCCCCCTTTAGTAACGTGTACATGATGTTTGCCTTCCCACCACAATTTGTGTGATTGAATCAAGGCCATAATTCCATCAGCTAATGGCCCACTAATTGGGAAAGTCCTGGATCTCTCCATGCCCAAATTTAGGCAGAGGCACGGCCCATTTGTCCTGAACAGCTTTCCAGAGCAGTTACCGAGTTGAAAACGATAACAAAAGAAAAACTATTGCGAGGAAATAATATTATACATGATCCAATATCGTACCGGGAACTTTATTTCCCCAGACACACAAAATCTGCGGCATATTGTTCTGTGTGTGAATAGAGCTGCAACAATTACATGGATGTTATTGCTCATACTGAGTTTATTGGCTATACATGTAACACAAATCTCTTGTTTCATGTTGGATACATTGAAATAAAATTGCAAGCCAGCCACTTTAAGATCAAATGATGATGTCCTGTATGTAAAGACATTACATGGCTCTGAAGTTGGTGGTCAGCATTTCAAATGTTTACCAAACAGTCTGCAAATTTTGCAAAGACTATTTGCAACTACAGTCAAACCTGTACAAGTGAACACCTTTACACAAGGGCCACCTGGCCAATGCTGTCACTGTTTGGTGATTCCTTTGGCCCCATTCCCACTAGGATGAAATGGTCCGGATCAAACCAGACCGATTCGCTTTGATCCGGCTTTGATCCTGCTTTGATCTGGATTGAACTCAAACTCAAAGCCGGATCAATTTAGCAAATCAATTCGACTTGATCCGGACAATTTTAACCTAGTGGGGAAAAAAGCGCCCTTGACAATTTTTCCAATTGACACAAGCATCAAGACTCCTGTCTACAGTGACCACCTGTCCACATAGACCAGATTTTATTGGCCCCCTGAGTGGTCTTCTTGGTTAGCATAGTATAGCTACATGTACAGTACCATAAACATGTGTCATCCATCAGAAAATGTTACTGTTTATATAAAGTTCAATGCTGTATACCCTCTGTATACTAGTACCGGTATATCACAGCTATGAAGGCAAATGAAAAACCAATACAATATAATGGACAATATAGGTAAACAGTAATGTACAGAATCTATTGCCTCTGACTTGAAATCATCATTATTACAGACGTACTTTAGTACTAATCCCTTGTCTGTGTGTATTTTGGCAATGACCTGCTATAATCCCTAGTAATCCTGGATTAAGTACTAATGGCAACTGGCCATCTCCCTTCAAAAGGCTGTTTTGATATCAAAAGCTTCACAAAGACTACATGAACAAAAGTAGTCCATTCAAGCCTTGATGAGTCATTCCCACCTTTAAAAAAGTCCTTTCATACAATACCGCCCACATCAATTAGTTGTACTTTAAGACCCCGTTCAGACCAGATTTTTAAAAACCGGTTGAAATCGCCAAATTATTAGCGGGGGAAAACCCGGCTAAAATCTCCTGAGGTGTTTTTGAAAATCAAATTTAAACCCCTACAAAACCGGTTGATTTGTGTTCACACTAGGTTAAATAAAAACCGTTTTTTGAAAAAACGGTTGCAACCGCTAAATTTAAGTCTGGTCTGAACGGGGTCTAATTGGCTGACATCACAAAAAGGTCCACCGTTCAATTTTCTGTCAGTCTGGTTGTTCTATAGAATTAATGAATACTACAATCTAAGGCCACACCAATTTAATTTCTTGGTTAACGGATTCGCCCGCTTCATTTTTTTCTGATTTGCAAATAAAAAAAAATTTTGCTCTGAACAGTTGAAAACAGTCCTTTTCATCCTAGCTGTTACAGTTATTCCATCTTTCAATGCAATGGTATCATTAAAAGTTCAAATTCATTGTTTAAATTTTGAACCAGCCTGGTGTGTTGACTTCATGGCTCCTATCGTACCATTTTAGGCCATAATAGGATGCCTAGGCCTATTTTTATTTTTATTTTTTTTTTCGCCCGCCTGCTCCATTATTTTTCTAGAAAAATCCGTTAACCAAGAAATTAAATTGGTGTGGCCTAAAGCAGTTTGACAAGTATTTCATACAATGTTATTCTTGAACAATGTGATTTGATGTCAAGTCCAACCCATTGACCGAAACAAAAATAATGTGTGATATTTACATATTCCAGGTCCATACCTCACAAGCAAAACCTAGTCTAGACAGCTTCACTTACTGATATTACATTAGCATTTCATTTGGCCAAGCTAGTACTATATTACTGTGCCTTTATACACATCATTGTGCTTGTAAGTTTTGCCATATTCCCTTACTATGAAAAACATCAAATTTTTGAACTTTATGGAATGTAAAAATAAGTTTAGTTCTTTTGAATATGCTACCATGCCAGGGTTCATTTTTCTAAACATAAAGTTAGTATTGTAAGAGAAGTTTGGTTTAAAAACAAAATGTTTCTTGGCAAGAAAAAAACATTAAAACATGTGACCTTTTTAGGTAAATTGCCAGCTTGTTTTCTTCAGTTTCCTGTGACTTTCTTGGGCTATATAAATCCTGTTGACTGAAGGAAAAGTGCTGTAGTATCATGTTGCAATGTAGCCATGTTTTGCTTTGTGCATTTGCAGTAGATGCTACTCAAGCCACAATCTTTCACAGAGGTCTCCAATTAAGATACATGTAATATCACACTACCATAGCACTACTCCATCTATTGCATCTAAGCATACTGTTTGCTATCAATAAGTGTTAATCGTTATCATACAGAATTGAGGTTTAAAGTTATGCTGACGGTTAACATTCATACCAGATCAGTATTCCCAGTACATGTTGTGTACTGTGGGTTTCAAATTTCACAAATTCCAAACTCTGAAGCAGTCTTGCTTCTTATGTGTTGTATACAAAGATTTTACAAAATACATACAAAAGGATAAAAGTACATTTGAAACTTGAATACAGGAATTCAAACTGCCTGACCAGATAGTAATGGTAAGTCATTCTTTTGGACTTTTGAAAAAAAATGTTTATCATATAAAGAGAAACATGTTTGATTTGAAACATGTAAAAGAGTTGATACTACATTATAAAATCTTAGTAATTCTAAGCCATATAAAATGCTTAGAGTTTCTAAGATTTTTCAAGTTCCCAATATTTTTCCAACTCCTATAAAGTAACCAGTGTGGGTAGAGGATGGTTTCCTGCAGGTGTTATCTTGGAGTGTTCTGATTGGCCATCCTCCAGTGTGGATAGAGGATGGTTTCCCGCAGGTGTAATTTTGGTGTGTTCCGATTGGCTATCCTCCATAGTGGGTAGAGGATGGTTTCCTGCAGGTTTTATCTTGGCGTGTTCTGATTGGCCATCCTCCAGTGTAGGCAGAGGATGGTTTCCTGCAGGTGTTATCTTGGCGTGTTCTGATTGGCCATCCTCCAGTGTGGGCAGAGGGTGGTTTCCTGCAGGTGTTATCTTGGCGTGTTCCTATTGGCCATCCTCATGTTGCGCTCCACCTCAAACTGACGCAGGTCTGTTCTCTGTAGGAAGGCCTGTCTCTCCAGGTAACTGGAAATGTACAACAAAAATCCTGTCAGAAAAGATATAAACTCTTTTTACAACACAAAAGAACTTCATGCTTTGGTCACTTAATTCTAAATATGATTTTAAATGTCATTATTTTACATTTATGTATACACAGTATCCAACATTCCATGCATCCTCCAATATGTAACTGTGGAAATGTACAACAAAAATCCTGTCAGAAAATACATAAAACCCTTTTTACAACACAGAATAACTTCATACTTTGGTCACTTAATTCTAAATTTTAAATATCATTATTTTACATTTACATACTCTACATTTTACAAATTCACAGTATCCAACATTCCCTCCACTCTGCATTGAAGAAATTGAAGAACAAAAAAAAGAAGATTATTGCAAATCCTGAATCATTCATGTTGATTCTATTTTTGCAATTCCTGACACTGCAAATATGTCTTTCTAATTTATGATTAGGTAACATCTGTGTCCATAATATCCTCATAGTCCATAATATCGCCACCTTGAGAAAAAGTGACTGCTTAAAGATACGTTTACTGCAAAATACCCTAGGTATGTACATTTGAGGTGTGTAGGGTGCATACCAAAAGTATGTTGCAGTAAAAATATCTTAAAGCACACTGTTTCTCAAGGTGGCAATATTATGGACCATGGTGATATTATGGACACAGAGGTTAACACAGAAATCTAAAACACAGCAAAAAATTCCTTTGCCCTCGTATTGCAAAAATCTGCTGCAAAATTACATTACAGTTCCCAAACCCTGCTCCGACTTTCACCAGTTTGCATACATGAGCAGTTTTCAGTCATTCCGTATGCAAACATATCAATTTGTGGACACCAGGGAATCCTTAGGCAACAATAATTTAATTTGTTGGTTCTCAGATACGCCTCATTCTTTTTCTGATTTGCAAAAAAAAAAAAACTCTGGTTCTGAATCAACTAAAAAATGATAAATACTTTGCTGCCAAGAGTTGAGGAAAGTCCTTTTCTTCCTAGTTGTTACAGTTTTTCCATCTCCATCTGTCAATGCATTGGTTTGATTAAAAGTTCAAAATTCATTGTTTAAATATTAACCCAGTCTTTTGTGTTGACTTCATGGCTCCTATCATAATATTTGGGGCTATAATAGATGCCTTGACCTGTTTTTAGTTTTTTTTTTTTTTTCGCCCTATCATTTCATATTTTTTCTGAAAAAATCCAAGAACCAACAAATTAAATTGGTGTGGCCCTATCACTGCACACTGCAGTGCACAGAGGTCTTGGCCAAACCGCCCCCCTCCCCACCTCTCTGATAACCAAACCTCTCTCTAATGGATTAAAATGTTAATGGAGTGACCCAGCTACAGCTCATTAACCAGAGAATGGCACCAGGTAGTCAGGAAAAGTCACGCTTAATAACATAACATACAGACTTTTGATTATAAGGGAGTTCCGAGAGCGATAACTCACAGATTGTTAAATGAAGGGTGGACAGTTCAGCGTGACTTTAAAAGTGTCGGGTGCCCCCCAAAACTCAAGTAAGTTTATTGTAGTGTGATGGAAATTAAAGGGGAGGGGGGCATAAACATTATTGACATTTAATGTATGCAGATTAGAATAGCTGGGAAGAACAACTGTTACAACAAATTCCACATATTTGGACAGTTATGGAACATGCCATTGGGTTCCACAAATTATTATCAGAATTTTCAATGATGGCAACTTCACATGCCATGCAAATTTTTTTAATGTCTTGCTTTTTTGTGTGTTTGCGAGTAGGATCATATTTGTTCAAAATGCAAAATAGACCCAAGTATCAAATTCTAGCCCATCACTACAAAGACACTGAATCTGTCTGGGCTTTAGGAATAGCTCCTTTGGTTCTTAATCTTACTGCTTATTATAAGCTTCCATTTTCAAACAACAAAAATGCCAAAGAAATCCTAGAAATACCAGTATAGCTTGAAGGTATTAAAGTATGAAAACAGCATGGCGGCAAGGAAAAATTTATCAGCTTTGAATACAGTATTGTTATGTGAACTTCACAGAAATATACAGCATCGAGCAAAAAGGGCACTATCTACACACCCAAGTACATGTATGTATACATTTAAGAATCAGCAATGCTTTGAAATGTTTTGCATGTCTGCATATATTATGATCTCTTGTATGTTACTACCCAGAATAGAGGTTCCCATAGTAAAGTATCAGGGCTCGAAATTCATTTTTGGAATAGCTATAGCTAGGTGCACTGGTGCACCTAAAATATTGGGCGCACAAAAAATCTTTTTGGGTGCACCATATGAAAAAGAATAACTAATTATGTTTCATTTCTAAAGAAAAGTACTACAACAAGGATTTCATTACTAGTATTTTTCTGACACTTAGATCTTAAGAGTATGCTGTATACTACTATACGTAAACCTAGGAAAATATTTGGGTGCACCCACAGAAAAATATTGGGTGCACAACTCGAAATCTGGGTGCACTAAGGTGCACATGCACCCAGTATTTCGAGCCCTGAGTATGAAAACAGTGCAGTGTTAAAGATATCTATCAGGTCCACAACTGTTGCACAGTTGAGTATGTCTGGAAAACAGGAAGCATATGTCTAAATTTCACGCATGACTAGGTAGTTATTCAATAGGAATAACTGGTCTCTTTAAGGACTTAGATCTCCATCTAATCAGGCTCTCACCTGCCTGAGGGTATAACATAAGCTGGTATAACCCCTGCCATATGCCACACAATGTTCCAACATCTGTCTAGCTAAACAATCACGGCACATGCCATTTGTTCTAACACACCAAAGCTGGAGAAAAAAAAAAAAGGCTGGTTGTGTAATAATAAGGCCTATGAAGAAAAATGTTGTGTTTCCTGTTTCCCGACCGACCCTAGAAAAACCTGCCAACCCTAGAAAAACATGCCGACCCTAGACTTTTTTTTTGTGGATCCCTGCAAGGGACAGTAATCTTTCGAGCTGATCAACCTTTTCTAGCTCCATGATCTGACACCTGAGTGATAAAAAGTTGTACAATTGGTTTTCGAACATTGACATTGAAAATAAAAGTGTCTTCATGGAATTTTTACTTTGGTAAACTGTATTGTATAATAAGTTGGTCCCCTACATAGATATCACTGAAGTCTAGAAAAAGAAAGAAAAAAAAAGATAATCCCTACCTACAGGAAACACAACATTTTTTCCTAGGCCTAGCTAAAAGTAAAAGCCTGCTCAATGGTAATAACACACAAGCAAACACACATAAAACAATACCTCACAACACGGAGGTAACAAGGCTGAGATATTTTGATCCCAAGTTTTCCCATGGCTGAATGTTGGAATGTTAATACACACAGGAATGTGAGGGGTTAGGGTAAATATTGAAAGAAGATCAGCTGTGATATTTCCATAATCATACTTCATTACCTGCTCCTTTTTTGTATGATACCATGTGTTGGATATGATGGTTTTCTTCAAGCAGTTTCAAAATTTGTCATGTAAAAGGTCAACTAAGGTCAGAGCACTTCCAACTATGCAACTGACCAGATCAGAGCACTACAAACTGATTTGGGCATTATGCACTGAAAAGGTACATAAGTATATAAGGTATATAAGTGAGAACTTCATGTTACTTGTGTCATTTAGCCTCTGTACACTTGAAGAAGCCACACAGGCGAAACCGGTCGTATGACAGGCTGAATAAAAGTTCTAAACAGGAACTATGCGTCTCCAGATGTCTTACTGAGGGACGACTGCGTGTGCGAGATGTCGGTTAGCTTGAGTAATAAATCCTACAATATACTGCAGTTTCAAAATTTGTTTCTTCTTATTATGTTTTCTTTTTCAAATGACCATGATCACAAACAACAGTTTTTCTTCAAAATGCCCAGTCAGATTTGAAGATATGATTAGGATGATTCATGTCTTGTCTGACATGGCCTTTAGAAAATCTGTCTGCTGGATCTGAGCTGGGATTATTAGTAGGATTACAGTGAGTTAATCAGGCAGATGGTGTACTTTAGGCCATGTTAATTTGATTATATGGATGACATCCGGGCGCGCATGAATTTTCGGCCATTTCCCAAAAAAAAAGTTTTCAACAATACTGTACATTGTACAAAACAGTTACAAAATGAGCAAATATATACCGTAAGTTGCAATAAAAATATTTGAAAATGATACCAATGTCGTAGAATGCCAAAATCAAATGAAAAAGATGAAAATGTAAAGAAATGAATTTGAAGAGTACCATGTAGATTTTTTGCCATACCATACTCCCTTGTTCAACTTCCATGACCACGTAGATTTAATACTTTTTTTTTTGCAAAACTTTTTTTTATTAGCACACGCGCATCAGTTCTGGGGTTCCCAGAGGATGTCATCCATATAATCAAATCAATTTGGTTGTTGCAAGTTCTTCTGCTAGATTGTAGTGATCAGGCCGCACACTGGACTTTTACAGGAGCTTGATGGTTTATTGTGCTTCCTCCAGGACTCTAACTCCAGAGGGAATCAGGACGACTCGGACCATTACCAACTCGGCCCATCGCAAATCTGGTCAACTCGGCCACCGCCCTGGTCAACTCGGCCCACCACAATGGTCAACTCGGCCCACCAACAAATCAACCATGTTGACTATGAGTTTTTTGAAGTCTCAAGCCGCCGGTACTTGGACAATCAACATGATTTTATAGAGACCAAGTCTTTTTGTTAGACAACTTCGAACTGTAGACTTTCAGGTTTTTAAGTCAAAACCGCCTGCGCTTGGGCAATCAACATGGTTTTAGCCGAGACTTTTTTTTAGCGATTTTCTGTTAGACAACAAAACTATTAAATTGTTTGGCTATAAAACGGGATCAAAAAAAGTCTAGTCATCCAGTGTACCGGAGAGCGACGACTTTGCCCATCAATTTTACCTTCACACGATACTAGACGGATTCATTTGTTCACACAATTTTAGTACATTTTTACTTTGTTTCATGGCGATAATTATGTGACTGTTGTACCAATTACTTTAGTAGAAATAGTATGTAATTGTAAGCATTCGATGAACGTGACGTTTGTTGACTAAGGAGTAGTGCTAGTTCTATTCGTTATACCTGTGGAAAAAGAAAGGAATTACATAAGTTGAATGAACTTCTTATTGACCTCCATCATTTGTTCGAAAATTGACATCGTGTGTGCGTGTGTTTCTGCCTAAATTACTGTCTCCGGTATTGGGCCGAGTTGACCAGAGAGATGGGCCGAGTTGACCAGGTAGATGGGCCGAGTTGTCTGGGCCGAGATGGTAATGGTCCGAGTCGTCCGACATTCCTCCAGAGTGAGGTTCCTGGGTTGGACTATTCTACTTCTAAGATAGGGGGGTTGTGTACCAGGACTGGTCTACTTCTAAAATAGGGGGTTTCTTCAGCTTTCTTGTATAGTAGTGCACATATGGTTCACAGTGGGTTCACAACATTGGTCTTATGTATGTTTTGTATGCAGGACATGTGTGGTACTATGTACATGTAACACTACAGCAATGTCTGGACTTTTCCAATGGCAAGACAAAACAAGCAGGGAACGCTAAAAACAATCAAAAGTGTGCAGTAGTCTAAATATCATAACAGTTGCAAATTGTCTGAAATTTCATGTAATCCTAATACAGATGTGGATTCAGTACTCGTGTGTGTATATATGTGACAATGTGAAAGTCTCTGAACTCTTGTTCTGAAAATTAACATTCAGTATGCTAAGTTAGCTGCTTGGCACCAAGCTCAAAATACATTGTACTTTTGTCTGCATACCTGCACTAGTGCAGGTGACATTAGAAACTAGAACAAGCTGGTAGGGGGACAAAACTTACACCACTTATTCCAGACAGGAAAAGCTATCTGTCATCGAAAATTCAAGACCATAGCATGTTCAGGACAAAAGATACAAAAGCCAGAAGTTCTACTGCAGTACCAAGGTCAGGTACCAGGAGGCCCATATTTGACCTTGACCTTTGTATTCCTAAGACCTACCAACGTACCAAATATCATCACAATCCATAAAGGCGTTCTGAAGTTATGCTGACTACAAATGTGCGGAAACACAAACACACAGACAGACAGACACACACACACACACACAGACAGACACACCAAAAACAATACCTCCATTTTTCATGGAGTTAATAAACTGCACCAGAAAAATTTTAACCAGAACCAAGTTATAAAAGTGCTGAGTGTTCCTTACCCTTCCTTCCCCCTGTTGTGGATGGCCAGGTCTTCTTCTATCTGTTCTTCCTTCTTGTAGGTGTCCCAGTCTAGCTTAGATTTCACCTGTTAGAAGGAAAGTCGGATTCTATTTAGTGTGCAGTCTTCAATCTATAGTAGCCTAGCACATCGGCAGAATGTACAGCGTCTATGCAAAACCCTGATTTTTGCAAAACTCCAATGTTTGGTCAACGTTGCATCAGAATTTTGCCTGTTGCATATGTTGGGTATCTTTTCCAACATAATAATTGGAAACTACAGACAGGATGTTAACCTTATATGAGAATTTCTGCCCAAGTGCTACGCACAATACATTACATATTTTGCACAGGTGCAGTACGTTCTGCCCATAACACACTAGGTACAAAGTTATCCAGTGTGCACAACGAAGAACTTTGGGCCTAGTGTGCTATGGGTCTGGCATCCAGGCTAAAATACCGTGGCAGCAAATCTTCTTATAAATAACATTTTTTATATTACGTAATAATTAATGACGGTAGGTAGAAGCCATTAGTGCTGAGCACATAAAAAGCAAGTCAGAACAAATGACCCAATCAACCTTGAACCTTGACCTAATTTTGATGGTGTACATGTACATGTGTTTTGGTATGGGGGAGGGCAACTTGTAAAGGTGCGTATGCACCTTAGAAGTTAAAATAAACAAATAAACAAATAAACCTACCAAGGTGCTCATTTTGGGCTTCTTGCTGATCTTACTGAGCACGCTCCCCAACCCTCCGCCTACTGGTCTCTTCACCCTGTATGGACGACAAGTGTTTTTCCATGATGAATAACAAATCTGGACATATTCAGGTCACCTGATGGTGCTGAATGGCAGCCGCACAGACCCTTGCAACAGTTCCACAAAAGTGTGTGGAGCAAACACGTTATATGTATCATGTGTATTATGTGATTGTAAACCCTGCATCAATTCAGCGCTATGAAAAGGCTGCGATTGCATGGGTAATGTTCATCATCACAATCCATAAAGGCGTTATGAAGTTATGCTGACTACAAATGTGCCCAGAGACACACACACAGCTACAGACACACACCAAAAACAATACCTCCATTTTTCATGGAGGTAACAAAGTACCCTGTGACTGTGGTACCCCCCAACCGGGGTACCGCTGTACTGCTGGACTGCTGTGGTACAGGACCACTGTTGGTACTGCTGCTGTCTGTGGTCTTCTCATCAGGGGGAGTGCTCGTGGCCTCTACAGAGTCTGCATCCACCTCTTCTGACACTCTGCAGGCAGCACAAGCAAAGGTGATGAGTGGATACACAAGCACAATTCAACAGAGCCCCCTAGGGAACAACATCAGTACTGCAACATGAAGATGCAATGGAAGAGCTAGGATATTTCTGCAAGTTTGCCAAAGTTTGTTATTGTTCTTCCATGACATTTTATGAGTCTGTCAATGATAAAAAACAGCAAAACACATCTATAGTAAACAATGTTTGTAAATTACTCTAAACTAGAAAGGTAACAGTTGCAAACAAATGCATAATGTTTACCTTCGCACATGGTCTGTTCTTTTAATTCTTACTCAAATACATTCCTATATATGGTCAGACAGGAGTCATCTAAATCCCTTCTACTATAAGATTGCAACATTATGTAACCCAACACCACTTACCATGGTGACAGACATCAACAAATCAAGTCATTGGCCAGGTCAGAGGTTAGTGTTTGGAGAAGAAGAAGAGGAAGAGGAAACTGAGCAAAAACAATATGTTTTCCTTGGATTACATAAAAAGTATAGATCATGGACTTTGTGATGTGGTAAAGAGATTACAGATCATGTAAAGTTGTGTCTTACTTGACTTCTTCTCCGGCAAAGTCATACACCTTTGTTACTGTGACTTTGGACTTGGGCTTGGCTTGGGTCTGGGATGTAGAGGCAGCCACACTGCTGGTCTTCTACAGTGGGAAAGATTACGATACATTGTGCTATTGATCACTCTACCAGTCATCACAGTACCCCACACTTACTACAATGGTACTACTGCTCCCCCTAGCACTCATAATTACTACTGCACCCTTATCCTCCCACAGTCCAAAATGTATATAAAGTTAAAGCATAATCAAACAAGAGATAGTAGCATGAGAATTCTTTCCAATCTTTCAGTAAGAAAATACTTCAATGTTACAGTTTAACTACAGTGTTCCAAATACCTGGTAGCGCAGTTGCGCCACACAACATGATTTTCTTGGGCGCTAGTTGCTCCCTGATTCACACAGCAACCTGAAAGGGGGCCTGCATGCCCTTTTTCGTAAGGCGTAATCAGGCCTTTTTAGTCTTCGTAATCCGTAGGCAGCCTCCCCAAAAATCAACGTAATTTGTAATAGAACATTAACCGCAAAGCGTAAAGTCGTAATCAGCTCTGAAACTTTAGCGTAATTTGTGATAGGCGACGAAAATTTTGCGTAATTTATTACCACTACCCCCCATGCAGGCACACATACTGAAATATGTATGCTGAACTTAAATGTACAAGCATTCTCTGTGCAGGCGGCACCAGTCGGCGCTCACGTGAGCCGAGTCTGGGCCAGATCTTGATTGACAGTGGGTGCCAGGCGGCAGCCCTTTGATCTGGGACCGACAGCAGGATCCAATTACTGGTCAGCCAATCACCATTCGAGAATTCCTGAAAAATCCAGGTGATTGGTTGACAACAAACCTACCTGTGTTAGGCTGCCCAGCCCTCCTGCTGAAGATGTCTTAGGCCGTGCAGGGGGTCCCCCCACATCCTTCAGGAAACTGGCCCACAAGTCATCAGCCTTCTTCTTCTCTACTTGTTCCTCAACCTTAGGCTCTTCTGGTTCTTCTTTTCTCTCCTCTTCTTGTTCTTCTTCTTCTTCAGTACTCAGTTTATCTTCCTCATCTTCCTCATCTTCTTCTGTAAACTGCATTCCACGTTTACTTTGTCTGGAAAAGATTTTATTCACAATGTGGCGTCAGGTGGTGTAGTGGTTAGAGCAATCGACTATGAACCGGGGAGACCCGGGTTCCATTCCGAGTCTTACCCGGTACATGTCTGAACATGCGCCCGACGTTGTGCCCTTGGGAAAGGCACTTTACATGACTTTCCTCACTCCACCCAGGTGTGAATGGGTACCTAACTTCGGTTGGGGAAAGTCGTATTGAGGTCACCTTGTGGCGCCGAATGGCAGCCGCACAGACCCTTGCGACAGTTCCACAAAAAATAATTGTGGAACAAATATGTGTATCATGTGTATTATTTGATTGTTGTAATTGTTGTGATTTGTATTGATTATTATGTGATACCCTGCATCAATTCAGCCATATAAAGGCTTCGACTGCACGGGTACTGTTGGACAATTAAAAAAAAATTTATTATTACAATGTACATCGGGTGTCGAGGTGGTCCTGCGGCTAGGGTTGTTGACTCAGAATTCAAAGGTTCTGGGTTTGAACCACTTATACTTTTATAGGCATTACTGTTGTGTTCTTGGGAAAGGCATTTGTACTTACTGTTCCAAACTGGTGTGTTATGCATTAAGGTGGTTTACCAATTATACGAAACAAGCAAACATTGTTATTTTACAGAGATACGGATTGTGAACAAATTCTTTTTCTTTACTTGATGTTAAGGCATAGGAAAAAAATGTTGTGTTTCCTGTTTTCCAACCGACCCTAGAAAACACCCTAGCCTTTTTTTGGGGGTGGACCCCTGCAAGGGACAATTTTTTTGAGCTGATTGACCTTTTTTTCTAGCTCCATGATCTGACAACTGAGTGATAAAACGTTGTACAATCGGTTTTCCAACATTAACATTGAAAATATAAGTTTCCTTATACAAGTTTTACCTTGTTAAACAGCATTGTATGGTAGGATCACTAGAGATCGCCAAAGTATAATAAAGATTAAAGAAAAAAAAGATAATCCCTACCTACCGACCCTAATTTTTTCAGGACTGAAATAGGAAACACGATGCCTAAGTTCAAGAATGGAACTTTCATGTACACCATTCATTAGTATGTGTCATTTATTCATTACAGCATACTAACCTGACAGGAAGACTAGATTTGTTTTTCTTCTGCCCTTTTTTTGCAGCCTTCTTCCCTTTGGGTTTGAAATCTCCGTCTTCTTCCTCACCTTCTGGTTCTGAGTCTTCACTCATCTCACCACCTGTGATAAAAAAAAGGAACAAAATTAGCTCGGAAATCTAACAGTTCCATTTAGAAGTCTATTTTTCTGCCAACATAAATCACTGGAATTTGGATTGGCTCCAGATCAATTTCTTCCCCTGACTGAGTGTCCATATCGTCATTTTGCCATTTAATTACAATTTGCTGCTAATTATGAACAATTCATGGTTATTTTGTCATCCTGACAAACAATGTAGGCTCTATAAGGGTGCCAGGTAGCTGGGAAATTAAAAAAAAGTAGGAATTAACCAAAATGCTACTGAGCCAGTGCATTCTCTGTAGCTAGCGAACCCTCTATCTAGCTATCTAACTCAGCTAACTCCTAAAGCATGCCAGTCGGTTTACTTAACCAAAGGTGAGGAAAAAGGCTCCTCATAAACAGTTCTCAATGTCTATTAAAACCATGTTTGATATAAGTATATGTTCAGACATGCTTTGTTTATGTCTTTGTCATACTAATACTATCAACAACTCATCACACTGCATACAAACAGATTAAACCATGAATTGAACCTACATTGTACTCATCTATCAGAAGTAATCACTAACACTAACACATACCTGATGGTACATAGTCCTCATCCTCACTGTCTGAGGAGAACTGGTCTTCAGAGTCACTCATCGTGGTGTCAAGTCACTCTCCTATTATTTTATGATAAAAACATTGCGAACTCATTATTTTGTGTCTTTTGACATGATTTGAAAGTTCTATCCCTTCCTCTTTAATGTGACTTTATAGTTATGAGTGCACTAATGAAGCAAAGATTATGATATGACATCGAATGGTTTACGGTAATACCTATATTTACACAGTTACTAATGTTATACCGGGTAGTATAGAAAACATTACCTGCAGCAACTGTTGCAGGGCTTCTCTTGCTGCTTGCAGTCTTTTACATTAGGGCTAATGTAAAAAAACTGCAAGCAAGAGAAGCCCTGCAACAGTCGCCGCGGCTAAGAAAACATTACAAGGTATAACTTAAGTTCAAAATACAAACTCTGTGCCAGTGCTGTTTTAATTCGTCTATAGTATTAAATGATTTTGGTTACAGCTGGTAGATCGTATTGTGGATCATAACTTTCTAATATCAAGAAGGCTCCTCGTATCAATCCTGTTACATTAATGTACATATTATAAACGTAAACGTTATACAAAAACGAGTCATGCAGCAGTAACACAGTGGATACATATAGAATACAACACGGGGTATTCCGTATCGCCCGAGGTACCAGCCCGACCGCGGGTCGGATCGCCCGACGGCCGAAGGCCGGAGGGAGATCCGATCCGCGGGAGGGCTGGGACCGAGGGTGATGCGGTAGGACATAAAGTGACGTATATCAAAATGTCAAAACTGACTCTATCTCGACAAATCTAAGAGAAGAGTCGTCAGACTGAACACAAAGATCACTGGATCAGAAATCACAAAGATCTAGAAGATCTCACCTGTAAGAATTATCTTATGACGTTTTTGCTTCACCTTTGCAGGTAATGAAACGTGCTCCCTGTATGACCTGAGGCAAAACCATTTGTAGCTGGCGTGCATAATATTGTCAATATCCTGTATATGTGTGTTACAAAATTATTACAAAAATTGCTTTATGTCCTCTTATATATCAGCTACTATTTTTTCGTTCATCCTTTACGTTTTTGTACTTAACTTTACACCAGAAGGTAGCTTTTAGGAGAGTCTATTGCTGTAAAAAAAAGTATTTTTTACAGGCGGTAAAAAGTCTGCGTAAGACAGCTAAACCGAAAGGCATAGTGGGAAAAGGGCCTTCCTGATTGAAAGTAAGGAAAATGTCCAGGAAAATCGGCTAAAATATGACCAGACGCCGGCTTTGTTGTGAAAACTCCAGTTTTCGGCGGGAATGACGTGTTATAGAGGACAGAGATGAGCTCCCAAGACTTCACCAATCTAGAATCTGTCGTCAACGTCATAGGACTGTCCAGCAAGCCGCTATGGGCGTTTGCAGGTTTGGAAATAATTTTTGTCACCTTAATAGCAAAAAAAAAAAAAAAAAATTGCGTTTACTGTAAAATTACACGCCAATGCACATTAGTTGTATTGGAAATACAACTTCCTTCATTGAAGGTAGAAGGCAGTCTTTATGTTGGTTTGTCATTCACATGTTGCTATTGTTTGTTTGTTTGTTTATTTATGAATATTTAACACATTAATTATTTTTAACTTTCAAGACAGAAGAAAATGCGACAGAAATTCCATAATTTCCAACCCTTCCTTTCTTCACACAAATAGACTATTACTACTTTTTTTTCTTTTAAATTCAAAAGACATCCCAAAGCAGTTGATTGGCTTGCGCATGTTGGAAAGATGATTGACATTGGTGAGTCACCATTGCCCAACTGAAAGCCCAAATATGGTCATATCATTGATTACATGGTGTAATTTGATTTGCCTGTGTGGCATCATCTGTAGCACAGGTAATCTTTAATTAACTTTCTAGTAATAAAATTTTCATTCATCTGTAATTTACAGTACATATGACAAGCAATTTTTTTTACTAGGATGGCTGGTGGGTACATTCCATGTAGTGATGAAATTGGAAATAAATTGAAATTGGGAATGGGAGCAAAATTTGAAAATAAAATTGCTAGTACCATTATCAGGAGAAAAGATATACTAGTATAGGGCTGCGGACCGGTACACTGTACCGGTCCAATACCGTAAAAATCGTTTCGGTACAGGTCCAAAATACCGGATCATGAAGTAACGAGTATATACCGAAATAGCTAGTTTACACCATGTATATGACTAAAGATAGGTAAATCCTACCACAAAGACGAAAAATTAGCACTGGAAAAGACGTAAACACCGTCGATTGATTTGAAAACCTCAGTCTCACGAGACATCGCGAGAGTGTGGCTGATCCAGGGTTGTGATTGGTCAACAAACTCAAATCAGGTCAGAGGTCAGTCATTTTCCCTTCCCTCCAACACTTTATTATTGTTTCTGTGTCATGATTGAAAAAGTGAAGAACACGTGTTAATTTGTCAAATTGTTCAGGTACAGGTACAGGTCCGGACCTGTACTTAAACCTCTGTACCAGTACCTGTACCTGTACCTGATGTTACGTTTAGGTACGCAGCCCTATACTAGTAGAGTGCTGCCTGTGTTAGATGTTAGATGATTCTATGAAGACTTGATTTATGTGTGAAAATATCTGTGACCCTCTATCTTCCCAGTGCTGTTGGCAGTGTTGCAACATTCAGTGACCAATGAAATACTAACAGATAAACAGCATGTCCGTAGCCAGGGGGGGGGGGGTTCGGAAGAACCCCCTCACAAGGCTCAAAGGTCCACTTTTTATTTAAAGGTCCAAGATTTCTCTTTAGATGGACTGATTCGTATCACGCAGGTCTGGAATAATATAAAAACTGCCTATTTTGTCATTGAATAAAAAGTTATCTCTGATGGTTTTTTTCTCTGAAATCCTCTCAAAAAATGCAGGAAATGTCATTTCAGAAGGTTCATTTGTCAAAATTTTCCAGGGGAGCATACCCCGGACCCCCCTAGGAACCTTGTGCTCGCTGGTCCCCTCAAGCAGTGGGAAGAACCCCCCATTCAAAATCCTGGCTACGGGCATGAACAGTTAACATATCTGAAACCTCTCTATCCTTGCCCCCCTCCCCACAGAGATGTGGTACCAGGTGTTCCTGTGGGCGCTGTTCTCCTCCATGTTTGTTCACCTCATCGCGGCGTTCATCGCCTTCGCCGCCCTGCGCTTACACAAACAGGGCCGCTGGGTACCACTAGGCATCGTCATCATGGGCCTGTTATCACCACTGTCTGGGGGAGTCATCACAAGTAAGTCTTTGGAATAAGTGAAAAAAAAAAATGATCTCGAACCAGTTTAGGACATTGAAGAGCTAATCTTCCACTGGTCGTGACAGAGAAGACAGACGCTATGTAACAGTTACAGAATACAGGTTCATTGTACCGGGGAAATTCCCCTAGCTCTTTTCGACAAGCCCAATGAACAGTGGACCATGACTTAATGTAGCGTGCATGTCGGGTGAGCGACATCACCTGGGATTCGAACTTCCAACCTCTTAGTCCAGAGGCAGGATAACCACTGGACTACACACGCTACGCTACGAAATAAGCTCAGTGCCATAAAAGATTAGGTGTTATTAAATGTGTAAAATTAGGACAGGTCTAACAGTCATTGTAAGTACAGTGTGTGTTGTTGTTAAGACTTGGTATAGTGTGGGGAAACAGAGAATTGATAGTTTTGTATCTGCAAGCACTGAAGTAAAAATCAAAATTTCAGAGTAGCAGGCTCTCAATATTGTCCAGAATTCTTGGGATGAGAAATGATGCAACAAATTCAACCTCAAGGAAGACTGTCTTTTCCTGTATGAAATTACCACTGCCAGGCCAAGGAGGTCCAATTAAACCTCCTCGGTCAGGCCTAAGGAAGGAATTTGTCAAAATTGAGGGAAGAAGAAAATGTTTGCACTGAGTAATTATCTCCTTCCATAACCAACAATTGATTTAGCAGGAAGACCTCTAGTACGGGCTCTAGTCTAGATGTAAGTAAACAATGTAGTCTGATTTTTATGTTTACCGAAGGAAAACATATTGTTTTTGCTCTGTTTCCTCTTCCGTTCCAAACACAAAAGGTCAATGACCTGTACCAGATGTCTATCACCATGGTAACTAGTGTTTGGTCACATCATGTTGCAATTTTATAGCAGGAGGGATTTACACTCCTGCCTATATATGAATGTGTTTGGGTAAGAATTAACAGAGCAGACCATGTGTGTAGGTAAACATTATGCATTTGCAACTGTTACCTTTCTAGTTGTTTTTAAACTGGCACCACTGTTGACTTTCCAGGTGCAGCCATCGCAGGTGTGTACCGCGCAGCAGGTTTCACCATGGCCCCCATGTACGCCCTCATGTGGGGCGTCGGACAGACGGTGTTCGTAATGGTCATATCCTTCTCCAGAATACTCGCCACGCTATGATCCGGGTTACGGGATGAGGCCTTCGATCAAGGAACGCGGATCTTGCTGGATCTGGGTCCAGTCGAGAGTCGTGCCGTGTCACGTGTGCGGTTAGAGATGACGTGAGATTGTCTGGAGATACAGAGCACACTTATATCTCCTTGAAGCTTGTGTTTGTGAGGTTGATGAGTAGAAACACAGCTATGTGTAATGACCGAGTGTTGAAGGAAGGGGTAAAGTTCTCGCTCGCGGATTTTTAATCCTGATCACGTAAGATCACTCGTGCACACGGAAGGAGCACAGATTCTCATCGAGAGAAGGCAGTGGGTCTGCACCCAAAGAACACTGTCATTCATTTTCTGTCATGTGGGACAGAGACAGAACCACACCATGGGCGGTGATGCTGAAACAAATTCACACAAAACAGCACCACCTGTCAGATTAAGTGTGAATTGCTTGATTCTATAGCAAGATTCTGTTGGACATTGTGAAAAACAGCACTGAGTGCTAAAAAACAAAGAACCTGTATCTAAAAAGAAAACATGTTGCTGTGCAAGATGCAAGGAAAGTACAATATTAGCGCACAGTGTGTGCTTCCCCAAAGATGGAAGAATATGCAAGATGTTGACAATGACAGATAGCAAGAAACACACCAACACAAGGACTACAGATAGAGCTGCTACAGGTGTAAGGTTACTACAACAAGCCAGTACACAACACAACTGTGACTGAAGTGCCAGATGCAGCAGGCTGGGGCTATATACATTGACTCTGCGGAGCACCAGAGCAGCTGATAGTTGTACGAACATGGCTGAACATGTCCTACTCACCAAATATGAGTAAAACAACTAGAGCTGCATCAATGGATGACATACTAGCTGGATGGATGACATACTAGCTCTTGTTATATTTTCTACTTTCCAGTGTTCACCAGTTCTAAAGAGGGCTTTGCTGTGTGGATGTTACCAAGCAATGAAAGATTCAATATTAGTTATTTGGAGCCAACTTTCCACTGCCTTCAGTCCATGCAACATGACAGTATTACAGAAATCAGCTACAGTGGGAGCTGACATCTATGTAATAGATTGATATATCTTCAGTGACAGAAAGGATCACACAATCCTCATTGTCCCTCCATAGTTTGCTCAATCCCATTGAAGTCAGTTGATTCAGGAGTTGCCCTCATCATAGGCAGTCCCGAATAGTGGCTAGCTGCACTTAGCCTGGTTACCAGACCTACTATAGCTCCAGAGTCCTACATCCTTTCCGCAACAGGACTTAGGAGCTATAGTATGTCTGGTAACCAGGCTAACCTGCACTGTCCTGTATCAGGATGATGATCTTTGTGGGCTTTAACTTTAACCTTCTCCCTACTTTGAGCCAACCCCTGCATTAGCATTTTGTTGGTTGCAGTAGAACTTAGCAGAGAGGGGTTAACAGCTATATTCTGGCAGTATCAGAGGCTAGCAAAATCAAACCAAACTCTAAAAGACTTTACACTTACTCTGTGTCTGTCTGAATCAGACATTCAAAGTCTTCCTACAGACCAAGACTACGACTTGTTTTTCTAACCATGTCAGTAATGCACTGTGATATCATTCATTGTGCAGTAAGCACTAACATTTGTACTCAAGTTTTTCTGAGAGGTACTTGCTTGAGACTGTATGTTTTACCTCAGTTCAGCTTTGACCTAACGAGTCAAAATCTGATAGTATGTAATTGTTTTCCCTACCCTGGTACCAAGACATTACTTACCTTATAGTTATACCGGCCCACAACTAAACTTTTGTCATGTACTATGCTGAAACACCACAAATGTAAGTGTATGTACATGCACTATGCTCTCAACATGTACTGCTTCTAGTTTCCTTCATTTCTTATGTTTACAGATAATGTCACCAAAAGAAATACCTGTCTAACGTACATATACAAATGTCACAATGTTCATACAGGTAGGTTATGTATTATTGAATGAATGGCAACAAGAAGATTATCTTCCTTAACTAAAGTTGAAATGTAGAGAGTATAGTAAAATTTTGAACTTTATTCCAACACACAATTTACAGAGGGATCAAATTTTCATCAACCACTGTCGCCTTCATCAGGATAATTAATGGCCAATCACTTCACAACGTGATCTCGCAAGAGTTCCAGTGTACAAACACGTGACCTTATTCAAGATGGTGGTCACTGAAAATTTGATTTCTCTGTAAATTGCGTGTTGGAATAAAGTTCAACGTTTTACTCTAATTACACAGATGAAATTTCATGATAATGTAGAGAGTATGCCTTCAGCTGCATTGCCATATCATTTCATTGTGCCATATGCCATAGTGCAAACAGTCCAAACACTTAACAGGCAATTTATGATGCAATGACCATAGATATTCAAACATAAAAGCCTTGGCCACTTGGCAAATGTAGATAAGATGTCAGATTTGTACCAGATGAAGCCGGTTGGTACACTTGTGTATATATTTTGTGTACCTTACTGTATTCTCACGTTGTACAGTTCAGATTCAGAAGAGAAATATTTTTACAAAGTCTTCAAATGTAAACTATATCATGTATATGCAAGAAAACTGTTAAAATGAAAAGAATTCAAATTGTCTTTATGCACTTATCTGTGTGACGTGTAAATAAATGCAATAGTATTGTAGGCTTACAGAGAGCCAAGACATGATGGAAAATAATACTACTTTTGAGTTTCAAAGTTATCTGTCTACTGTTATCATTACGTTCTCAGAAGAGAACAAGAAATAGCCATGCCTTCAAGTGCCAGAGTTATCAATCAAGGATTGAGGTGTTCAAGAATTCATTCTTTCCTAGAACTATTGCAGAGTGGAACTCACTGTCACCAAGTACAGTAGGGGCATTGTCATTAGATAGCTTTAAACAAAGTCTAGAGCTAGAAGTTTAAGGGTTAGGTGTAACAAGTCGATTGGTGTAACATAGCCAGCTGCCGCCGCGCCGCGTGCCTGCCAAGCTGGACAGATACAGATATGTTCGTGTGTACGGCTTTGGTAGCATTTTTGAAAGGCTTCATTGCACATTTCTTTTTTTTTACCTACTAGTAGTATGCTATTTCTTTCACATATATTATAAGTATTCCATAGGATATGTCTCTAACTGCTTTCAGCAAACCAGATATGAATGAGGGGGTACACAAAAGCAGAATTCACTTACAACACTTAATACATGTACTGTGACTTGGTTTCTTTTAGTTTAGGCCATGTTGATTTGATTATATGGATGACATCCGTGCGCGCATGAATTTTCGGTCATTTCCAAAAAAAAGTTTACAAAACAGTTTCAAAATAAGCAAATACATACCGTAAGTTACAAAAAAATATTGGAAAATGATACCTATGTCCTAGAATGTCAAAATCAAACGAAAAAGACGAAAATGTAAAGAAATAAATTTGAACAGTAGATTATTCGCCATACCATACTCTGTGTCATTTGTTCAACCTTCATGACCACTTAGATTTCATGTTGAAAGCAACTTTTTTTTTCCAAACTATTTTTTTTATTCACACGCTCGCATCAGTTTTGGGGTTCCCAGAGGATGTCATCCATATAATCAAATCGTATCATCTCTTGCGGAGGGAAACGCGACGTACCAGCTCTACCCTCTCTAAAGGAAAGGAGAGAGTCTGCGGCCGTGTCCCTGTTCAGGTCGATGCTAAATCCCGAACACCCACTACACGACCTGGTGCCCCCCCCAGAGAGCAACTGCTACCGGCAGGATCCTAAGGAACAGCCAGGCCGTGAGTGCTCCCAGGGCTAGGACAAAGCGGCTCCAGCAGTCCTTTCTCCACAGGGCCATAGCCCTATACAACAAAGAACTGACGTATCACTAGTTTTATTTTTCCTAAACCTCATCTGTATATTGTTTTTTGCTTGGTACAAATTCTTTATGTATTATAGTGTATATGAGGGTGTGTATATAGTGTTTGTTTTGTATTGTAACTTTTATTTTCTGTACGCAAACTCTTTCAATTCAGGGATTCTCATCCCTGCTGCAAGGTTTGCTTTTGGTGTTGAAATAAACTATCAAATCAAAATGGCCTCACGGAAATCATGTCAACTTACGAGAATTACGAGAGTTATGAGTATCAAAATGTTATGGAAGAAAGCATTTCAGCCGGTCAATTTCTCCATATTCAGTGAAAACGTGAATTTCTCTGTGATTGTATAACCGAACTTCAGGTACAGCCTTACGGCATCCTGTTGAAACTGACTGGTCCTCAGGTGTATCCTCTCCACACCTTGAGTCCCGCAATATTCCTCACAATGTTTCATCAGACGGGTGGCCACGCCTCTTCCTCGGAACCTGGGAAGGACGGTCATGCGTTTCAGTTTGGCCGCGTTGTCCGACGTCCTGTGTAGAGCAATGGTCCCGATGATCTTTCCCTCACAAACTGCAACCCAGAACTTGCTTCCAGCCCTGCTTCCGTACCAAGTGTACAGATCTTGGAGTTCCAGCCGTTCAAAGTGTCTCTTTATCCTAAACCTGGCATACAGGAGTGCCCAAGTGAAGGGTAGACACGTAACCGCAGCAAGTGTAGCCGATTCAGGCAAGGAACTAGTCACTGAGTAAAAGCTCACCACCAGAAAGCCTACCCAGAGCCAGCCAACGGGCATACGGAGAACTTTTACCACGGTGCGATGTGAAGCATTCTGTTGGCAGAGTCCGGACATGATCATGTCTCGAACTTCAGAAGCTTCTTCTTGTCGCAGCTCCCTTATATCTATGCTGAGGCCGTCACTCTTCATGTTTGTGGTCTGGGGCTGCTTCCGACTGGTCCCGAGTGCCCGTGGCAGTAGTCTATCACATGTGAGGCCGCCTCCACTTTGGAAACCAACAGACAAAGTTGCCGTGGCGACTCTTGAATCAGGGGCGTATTTTAATTGCTGGTATGGTCTTTACAACTGGAACTCCCTACCAGACAATGTAGTCGCGTCAGAAAGCATAAACCAGTTCAAAACCAGTTCAAAATACGGATCGTAGAAATCGGCAAAAAAAAAAGAGAGTGAAATTGGCCAAGGGAGTCCGGTCGCGGGGAGGTATAGATTCTTTCCCTCCAGTCAAGGCGGCCAAAGTCCCCTGGCAAATATTCTCTTATATATACTAGTAGCCAGCGTGCGTAGTTAGTCTGATAGAGACTTAGCCCTGTCCAGTGACCTTCTCGAGCTAGCGGAGGAACAGCCCAAACCCCGTATATAGTCGTGTCAACATAGCCTCCTGTGCAGGCCTCCGGTCGGGGGGAAAGTTTTGATACTGCGTTTAGTAGAATTTTTAACGTGTTTTCTTGCGCAATCATCCTACACTACAACCAGCTGCCTATAGAGGGTGTGTACTCGCGGGGTACAAATCCTCTATAGGCGGCTGGTTGTAGTGTAGGATGGCCGCGTAAAAGAACACGCCAAAAATTCTCAGTATCAAAACTTGACACACCCGCCCGGAGGCCTGCACAGGAGGCTATGTCAACAGATCTAGAGGGTGACAGTCGCCTGAGAAAAAATCTTTGGAAAGGAGCCAAAATGAAACTACCGATCTATTTGGAGACAGAGCAGGAGGGTTGACTATATTTGTAGATGAAGCATTTAAAAATGCAGCCCGGGTACAGACCCAACAGATTATCCGTCTAAACGTCTCCTTGGTTTGAATGAATACTGCTATATCATAGATTTTCCTGACAAAAATTAGGCCATAGAATATCATCAGTGACAGATATTTTTATGTTTCCTAATCTTATAATTCACATTCAATACGCAATACCGCTTTGCTTTGTTGAGATGCTAATAGCCTCGATGTTGGCTAAGATGATCCTTATTAGCCCCTCTTGACTGGTCGACTAACATTCTGAGCAAACATTCACGCTTGTTTTACCTTTTTTCAAGTCACCCATTTAGTCTGATCAAGGAGTTTGTTGTGCAGACTTCTGTCTTCCCGCCAACGGGGGGATGGCATTCAAAGGATTATTCATGTAATCTCCTAAAGCACCCAAGGTGGGTGGGGAAATGGATACAGACTGGCCAATTTGATACTGTCTTACCCCCACCAAAAGATCTGCTTGGAGATTATATTCATGCCCCTTACTTATCAAGACTATACGACAGGCGCCCCTTCTAGCGACAAAATATATTATTGCAGCCATGATGATTTGACCTGGATATAGTTATATTGGGCAGCACTGCCCCCAAGAGGCCCCCTCTCACCAACAGCTGCTGACCGCAGCACCCAGTACTCTATTTTACACTACAGGCGGAGTCATTGCGGAAGGAGACCCAACTCAATGATCATTCGCCATCTTCACCCTTTCAGACAATTAAGCACAGTGGTGCACAATACAGGTATCTGTGTCTTTGTTTGTTTGTGTGTGTGTGTGTGTGTGTGTGTGTGTGTGTGTGTGTGTCTGTGTGCGTGTGTGTGTGTGTCTGTGTGTGTGTGCGTGTGTGTGCGTATGTGCGTGTGTGTGCGTGTCTGCGTGTATGTGTGTGTTTGCGTGTATGTGTGTATGCGTGTGTATACGAGTGCGTGTGTGTGCATCACGCGCGCGTGTGTGTGAGTGTGTGTGTATGTCCGTCACTGTGTATTTGTGTGTGCGTGTGTGTGTGTGGTGGATTGCTTGCGTTTGATACTGACGTTGTCTCACACTCTCCACAGTGACCAATCACGGCTCACGATGTGGACAATGGTATCCACATCCGCGAGATGTCTCCAGAAGAGACTCCGCAATTGGCGGATCTCCTCGCCACTTTCCTGATGGGGGAACAGTCCAAGAGCAAAATCATCCTGAAGATACTGAGGAAAAGAAATTCCCTGCTATGGATGGTTTTCATATCTATACTGGTTTATTACTTGACAGAATGTGTGTTCTGGGCTATTGTGGTACCACCCGTTGTAGTCATCTTAGGAATTCTTCGAGCTTTGGCAACTTGGTCCTGTACGGTACCAGAGCTGTTTACAACATTAGACGTCTTCGGCTCGTGTGGCGGTGAGAGCCGGCGGACGTGGGTTGCGGTAACCGGCGGTAGAGTGGTGGGGTCCGTGACGGTGGTACGGCAGTCGGACGGCGTGGCGGAGCTGAACCGCATGCGGGTGTGTCGGGAGTACCAGGGGAGGGGGATCGGGAGGAGACTGGTGGGGCAACTGGAGAGCTACTGCAGGGACTGTGGCATCAAACAGGTACAGTTTGTTTAGAGTTAAAACTTTTTGTCCAACACAAAAAAAAAGTTCTCTCACCTAGAGCTTCCGACCAGTTGCTCTGGTCTTCCTCAGTAGACTGACCCAGTGAAGATTGCCACGTGGCTTCTTTGAAGTGTGAGGTCAACACTGGGTCAAAGGTATCTTTTAGATGATGTCGGCCCCCGTCGCGTTTCAATGTTCTCAACTACCAACACAGATGAACTTTCCTGATAGTACAGGTACAGCAGTTTGTTCCGAAAATAGTATCATTAGGTTGGTAAAGTATAGGATACAGAAGTTTTCTTTTACACAACCAAATTTTCTCATCTATTATAGTGCTGACATTTCGGTGTCTATCAGACACCTTCCTCAGAGCTCCTGACTGGAGTTCTGCTTCTCGCCGCTAGATGTAGCCGATGTACGTGGCGCTTTTCAGTGATGAACCGGGACGAGGGAGGTAACAAACTTCGCCACGTTTGGGATTGTGTTCTCGACGCAAAAGCGCCACCTACATATAGCGGCGAGAAGCAGTGAGAAAATTTGGTGTTGTAAAAGAAAACTCCTGTATCAGGTACAGTTTGTACTAACATACAAAACCCACTCATTTTGCAGAACGTGGGACTGTGAAACCTCATAATAGCAAGCGTAGTAGTAGAAGTATATTTCCAGTCAGTACTTGTCTGTTCCCTATTACTGTATTGTACCGTATGGTATCTTTGACTCTGTAAATGCAATTAACCTTCGGGCATGACTTTGCAAATAAAGACCATAAACATAAGTAACACATTGGCTGTATCCAGTTTGCAAGAAAAGGGACCCCCAAAATGCAAAACTTTATTCTCCAAGCAGATCCCTCTCGGTGGCAAAAAGACAGTATCAAATTGGCCAGACAGTATCCATCAGCCAAAGAAGCTCCGCGGCCACCGACGGGGTGGGGATCAGGACAAAAAAAAACGGCCCTATATGAAAAGGTAACGATTATTCCCCACAACCTCTGCTTGGAGAGTAGCAAAACTTGTCTCATTGCTTGTTTTATCCCAACTCATTTTCTACGCCACCTTCTAAGCGTACTTTGCTCTATCATAACTACACGTTTTCTTGACATGTTTCCTCAGATCTCCCTGAAGACTTCTGAGTACCAGGACATTGCGATGAGGATGTACCAGAGGTTTGGGTACATCAGTGACAAGACAGGGGACTACTCCAAGGCTCTGTTTCCCGGTATAGGAGACCCTGCCTTCAATGTATCTGTTGATGTCTTCGCCTTCAGAAAGGAACTTATGATCTAGTATTCTAGTGATAGGCAGTTTTCATTGTACATCATTGTTAGCGAGGGGGGGGTATAACCGAATTACCAGATTCGCCTAATCTACAGTAATTGTTGTTTGATGAAAACACGCAAGGTAGCGTGTTCATCAACGTCAGAGGTCAACGACCTGCTTGCTGGTGCCCTCCAAGCGTATCTCGGCTAAATGCCGACGTGGTCCCGCGGCGCAGTGACTCCCCTAACTATAATTCCTTGGCCTAGAGCCCATGACCCTACGAAAATACATCTAAGGAAATAATTCCGTGAGATACGAGTCTGATTCTGCCTTGTTTAGCATGAGCTATTATTTCGTCATGAGTCATACAATGCACAACGTTTGCAATCCTAAAAAGTAATTCAGGGTTCATACTAGGATAATTACTATGGCGGCCCACTACAGAGCACTAGCCGACTGTGGGTGGGGGTAGTGATCGTGGGAGGCGACTGGGCTCCAGGCTAACACAGCTCAGCCTTTTTAGTTACAGGGGTAAAGATAAATACTACAAGTACAATCATGTTTCTTTCTTTCTAACCACGATTTTAACGGTCACCGTTTGAATCTCACGGTCAAGTCATCACGTGATATCACAGG